TCAACACCAGCTTGACCAGATACGGCAGACCCGGGGTCACTGGAAAGGCAGAGATGGAACCAGATGTGTGGTTGGAGTTGTGACGACAGCTGGGAGACAGTGTTGGGATCCTGGAGTCGTGTTTCTCTCAGGAAGCAACTAGCAATCGCAAGGGTCCCCAGCGTGTGCGCGTGCAAGTCCAGGTTGCTGTTCGCCCTGCAGTAACGTGCGCAGGTTGATGGTTGAAACTGCGTTCCAGGTTGCAGGAGTGAAGATGGAAGATTTCGGAGCTGACAGCTCCCGGTAGAGGACTATGTGGTTGAGTTGAAGGAAATTAAGGAAAAATGACACCAGCAGATGTAGAGTTGTTCACCAGTAAAAAAATCGGGTAATGATAAGAGAGTGCTCGTAATTGTACGGTTCCGTGATTCGTCAGTAGATGAGATACTACCCGGTAACCTGGGCCAAAGTAGGTAGGCTGTCATGGGGACCATCGCCCCTAGCCTTTGACCAAAGGGCCTAATCCACAAACTAAGAGGGCAAGATAAGGATTTCACTCTTGTTGAGAGGCGGTGACTGAACACTCAGTTTACACACTATGAATGGTGAAAAGTCATACTAGGGGCCTAACACTCCTGAACTCAAAAGGCCTATGCTCGGATTGCTTGCTGGTGTACAGTGTATCCGAGGAGGACGAAGAACAGTGACTTTACTTGAGGCAATTCACATCCGCTACGTCGCAGTGTGGTTAAACAGTCAGTATTAGACTGCCTTGGGGATAGAGGTAACAACCCTGTCTCGCTTATCGCGTGTTGGTCTGTTTGTTTGTTTGTATGTACGTTTGGTCACACCTTTCTCTGAATAAATAGTATGGTGAGTTATTGTTAAAAGCATTGATGCAACAATACGAAATGCGTGCATTTGAAAGTCTTCGTCTTCTTATAGCGTTTTTCAAATAACTAAAGGGAACTAACCGATTCAAACAGACATTTGTGGCTTTTTATGGAGAGAAGGCTTGCCAAATGAAAACCCACCACGTCCTAGAACAGTGCCGCCTAACCATTTGTCTGAATGGGGAATTCTCGAAGCACCCAGCCGGCACAACGGAGTTGTTTGGCATGGGGAGATGCGACTGCTTCGCGCGAATTTCGACGAGGAATCGACTTATCAAACGCTCAAAGGCCCCGTGATCACGCACAAGGATATGCATTTTTAATCTGGTACATTTCACACCTCTTTGCCCCTGTTGTCTTGGCTTCGGTGAGCTTTCGTCAAAATGTTTCGAACAGTCAGCAAAACTAAAAACATCATGAATAAATAAATGGATAAATAAATATTATAATTAGCGTGGACCTTGGTATAATTTCAGAGCTAATTCGTCGCAGTTCCTTCTGTCAGCAGGTTTCCACACGTCTGGTAAAGCACCAGACAATTATTTCGACATTCTGGGTCTAAACAGTGGTGCACCTTCCTCGGACCCTGTCGGGTTCCGACTCCATGAGTTCCGGGTGCCAGCCGGGGACCTGCATAACTGGCAATGGTCCGAGGAAAGCGCACTGTAGTAACCTGGGGATTTCCCCGTATGCCTGTGTAAATTATTATAAAATATGCTAAAATTATAACTTTTTATGTATAGGGAATAAAGCGGTTTGCTTGTAGGAACTTTGTTCCCATTTATTTGAAACCCACGATATCCGCTTTTGGAGCGCGTGACTATGACTGTCAGGACGTCCGCCCACGCACTCGAGGTTCAGTTGGCTAGTTCTTCTTTGGTTCCAGATTTTTAGCATTACCTAGCACTTTACCCGTTCATTAAACTTTTCCCTAGCTTATTTTCGTGTGTTCTCCCGTGAGCACTCGGTTGGTCGTTTAGCCAGAATCTGATAATATCATCATTATCATTCATCATTATACACGTCAGCTAGAGGTGGGAAACACCTCAGCTACTGTGCCGCAACACATAAAGGAAAAGGAAAATAAATACAACAGTTGCATGCCAGCTGAGCTACCAGCAACGGATGCGCATCGTTCCGGTAAGCTACCAGCCGGGTATTAGGCAAAAATAAAAATTATGTTGTACGCTACGAAATGAGACCGTAGATGGAGGGAGAGGTTAAGAGCGATGGGGTGGGAAAAGAAACTCACAGCACGAACGCCACTGAGGTCGGCTCTTTGCCATGTCAGCAAGTGTATCCAGCCAAACGCGTTCATCGTCTTTTGGATCCCAACCAGGGAGCCGTGACGCTCCAACCGAGGTCAGTTCCGAAGTGAGGGCTTTCATTCCTCTGGAGCAAGTCATCGCTTGGCCACCCCTCTTCTTCGTCCATCCACATCCATAGTGAGCAAACAACGCACGTCGCAGAAGTCGGTGGGCTGGTATGCGCAACATCTGACCCACCCATCGGAGCCTAGTGCGTGAAATAATGGTGCTGAGCAGTTCATTTCCATTCCCTGTGCCGTAAACAAGGCGTCGGACACGCTCGTTGCTTACACGGTGTTCCCATCAGATGTGAGCCAAACTGCGAAGGCACCGATGGTCGAATGTAACTAGCCTCTTTAGGTCCGCTGAACTAAGGGTCCACGTTACACAATCGCACAGTAAGGTCGAACGTACCGCTGCATTGTACACTCTACTCTTCAGGGCAAGAGTGATGTCGCACCGCCGCCATAGGTGGCGAAGATTAGCAAAAGCACCTCGAACTTTCGCTATACGATTCGTGATCACGTCTTCGATCCCAAGGATGCTGATGCAACTTCCCAGGTAGTTGAATTTCCGAACGACTTCTAGCTGATCGCCACCAAGGGACAGCGCAGTAACCGATCCCTGCCCATATTGGAGGAACGCTTTGCATTTCGACGGTGCGAAGCAAAGCTCGAAGCAGCTGACAGCCAGTGCCAATCTGTCCAGTGCCGCTTGGCATGTCTGGGAGCTGTCGCAGATGAGGGCTATGTCGTCTGCATACTTCAAGTCAAGAAGCCGTTCTCCTGAGAGCAGATCCACACCTTCCAACTGGTGCCCTGTAAACCCGATTTTTGTTACTTCGTCAATAGAGAAGTTGAATAGGAAAGGTGACAACGGGCATCCTTGTCTCACACCGCTGGAGATATGAAAGGGCGACGACAGCTTGTCGTAAGCTCTCACTCTGCCTGAGCTATGCGCGTATAATGCTCGGATAATATTTATATATTTCTCAGGTACACCTTTCCTGAGTAGACAATTCCAAAGGGCTCATCGATCAACCGAATCGAATGCACCTTTGATGTCGAGGAACACGACTATGGTGGGCCGCCAATATGTGTGACGGTGCTCCAACAACTGTCGCAAAGTGAAGATATGGTCGATGCAGCAACTACCACGACGAAACCCGGCTTGCTCCTCACGAATCTGGCTTTCACAAGTGGCAGTCAGTCTGTGAAGGATGACAGAGGCGAGTAATTTGGAGGCGATGGAGAGCAGACTGATTCCTCTATGGTTGTCGCATTCCGAACGCCAGCCTCCATTGAAGATGGGAACGATAACGGAGTGGCTCCAGTTAGTTGGGACAGTCCTGTTCCCATAGTTTCACTAGTAATTCATGTAAAGCATCAACAAGAGCAGAGCCTCCGTGTGTGAAGAGGGCTGGAGGAAGATCACCTGGTCCCGCGACTTTGTTCAACTTCAACAGTCCGATCTCACGTTCGACTTTTAAGCGAGAGGGTGAATCCAAAGGGACGGCCCACGGAGCACGGCGATCACTGGTCGGCGAAGAATCGAACAATTCTAGCCGATTAAATTGCTTTTCAAAATTTTCAGCCCAACGCTCCAAACGTTTGAACAAATTGTGGATAGGCTGTCCACTCTCGTCACGTATAGTGTCATACAGCGTACGATCGGCGCGCTATGGCAACACTGACGAGACCCAGACGGTCGAAACAGCTGTCTAATGTTTTCTAATGGGGTCGAAGCCTGCTGTCTGAGAAAAGACTGCGACGAATTAACTCTGAAAATAAATAACTAGTTTATTCTTGACAGTAGTGTCGAAATGCGCTTTGTTGGATTTGCCTAACCAAAACTAATAGAATGCATTCATTTTGTGTGTGACTAAATTGGTCGGATGCATTATGCAGTGCATTCGAACTGCTTGGCTTCAAGGTCCTGCTGGTTACTAAGGCTCCGGGCCCATCACGTCGGCAAGGGGACGAAGCAAGTACCATAAACGAAGTTAAATTTTCAGCCGAAACGTAAACAGCGCGAAAGAGGATTAGCAGTTCAGAAGGTAGCAAGCAGAAATATCAAAGTTTTCTGAAAAATGCAGAAGGGTATTTCAAGCAACTCGATATAGACAGTATGGAGGCCAAAAGTAGGAATTTGGTCCAGCCCATACCCAACTCGATCTGAGCCCGATACGTTGAAGCAGATAGCTTCAACCGTCCTTTGTTAATTAAGCCGAAATGATTATTAGACTAAATGAGGTCTAGGTTCGTATGTTATCATAAAGTCAATCATCGATCTCCAGATAACCTCCATGGTACACAGAAGACAAAAATGTATCACTACAGGGGAGGACTCATCACCAATGATTCAGGCGAAAGTATGAGCGTAAACAAAAAGAGACGCATTTGGACAGTAGCCTTTGTGATGAGCAGGTTGCCGTAATTACATGGTGTCACATCTGTTCAGCGCCAGCATAGCATACACCTACGTTGGCACAGCTTCCATCAGAGTGCAGTAGGCGATGGAAAAGTGGCTCGGTAACCAGTAACATTTTCAAGTGGGACACTGTGAAGTCTTCCGGCGATCCAAACGCGATAGAATATTCGCCCTTGAGCGGATGCACTTGGATGCAGCCACTTAGACTGCTGTACCAGCACAAAAAACAATCAGAAAAACAGACACGAAATAGCTTAACGAGACTTCGCAGTTCCTAAAGCGACCGGTGCGATCGAAATTTAGTGGCAATCAAAATGAGCTGAGCATATCACAAAAGAAAGTGTTGCAAACACCTGTGTTGTATGAACGAACAAATTGATGAGTGACTCACCCTGTTTGTAGTGGGAAGAAGGTAGGCAAAACGGGGTTCGCTGGTCGTTGAAAAGAGAGTAGAAAAGTGAAGGAAATATTGCAGGTGTTTGGTACAAGTGCAGTGGAAAATATTACTGACTGACATACTAACCGGGGTGATATACGAACCGGGAATACATTAGAAGATGCAAAAGGTTTGGCATGGTTTCGCTGCAGTCGTATGTGACTAGGTTCCACCCTATGAAAAGTTTTGAGGAATGAATAAACAACCATAACCGAGAACAACGGGTAAACATTTTTGAAAGTATTAGCAAAATGTCACCTGTCTCCGGCATTGTCCGGAGTTCATCTACGACCAGGGTACATCTCCGAATAATGTAACGACGCACAGAGTAGATAAGTCGCCTTGATAAGAAGTGATCGATCATTGAGAGTCAATTATATTGAAAGCATTCCTTAGAAATTCAGCTTGAGGTATCACAGTCCAACTTGCTATGGCGACAGGACGAAAACATCCCTAAAGTTTTCGCCTTTGAGTAATGTCCCTATGCATGAACCTGTCTATGGCGACTACCTGTCCAAGGCGACCACCTTTTATCAGTGCCTTCAGTGGTCGCCTTAGACAGGTTTGACTGTAGATAGTTTACAGCCTAAGCCCACTAGTCAACCTGCGTCCCGATAAATATGGATTCGTGAACCATTGATCAGTCAACACAAGTGAATGATAAGCGTCGGCACGCAGCAGATGTAGGGGGATGAACCTTGGCCAACATGGCTGCTAGTGAATACGCTTCGGCCGCATTGGTTTTCAGCGCTGGAACTACCATCACTGTGGAGAGGAATGGTTCAACCGAGTTGGTCAGATGAGCGCAATCGCTGGAAGAGAGACATGAAAGGCAGTACCACGCCAGCCGACACTCCTGTGTGATACATCCACGAATATAACTTAATGGGGAATAAATTCAACATGTTACGTCCTCCACTTCTAATGTGAACCTGGAGCGCGAGTGTTGGTGATATAGTACTAGTTAACTGCATGCCATACACACCAAGTGGATGTGTAATCACACATCCAGCAACCCAAAATGAGGCACAACATATTACTAACACATCTCGGGACAGTCAACACCGACTCCACCTGCCGACCGGTAACAGCCGTCAACATAAAATAAAAGACAAGTAAACGGAATATTTGAAAATAAATAGTGGAGATAAGTGATGGTTTCATCTCATTTCCCTCCCTTTACTTCTTCTTCGTCATCAATTTTATCAAGTAAAGACTTAAGTGATTGTGGTTGAAGCCGGTATTTCTCCTAGTGCCACAATAACCACAGACGACTCTCAATCGCGCTCTTAATAATCTGAAAACAGTTATAAAGTTAGAGTGAACCATTACAAATAGGACCAGAAAACCGTACATTCCACTCCGTTACCTGAAGGCAAAGCTGGCAATGCCTAGTTGCAAGTCTCTGACTGTCAAATGGTGACTATGACACGTAAACTTAGAATGCGCTTGTCCTAAAGGACGAATGAAAAACCTTATGTCGTTTGACACGAAACAGTTTACCAGCCCGTTCGCGAGCCGGCTGACCAAGTTATCCATAGGTGCAGTTGAGAACGCTACGTAACATCAAAGTGTATGAAAAGCGATTGGAGGGTCATCTTAACTACTCGTGTGAATGGATTGCGACGCGCAATCTCAATGTGGACCGCGATTCGCATTGAAGTAAACGTTGGTGAAATCGAGCGCTGATTAGATCAAACAAAGTCGAAACGCGTCGTGGAGTGCGGTGTTTTTGGGTGCGCAACACCCAATATAAGTTTGTTGTATCAAACACGTTTGTGATCGTGAGGTAATTGACGGACTATGCTAAACAGTACTGGACTAATGTATTGTTGCCCGATAAGGTCGAGCGACGCTGGAAGCGAATACACAGGAATGCTACGCTGACCTCACACACGTTTAATGACCGGGCCTCCGTATGAGATTTGTGATTGCTAAGGAAGCACGGAACACGGTACAATCATGGTGGACGCAGCAACTACGGTGCTCAGGTTGAAATAAAACGACCGGCTGTTGAGTGCGACGGGACTATGCTAGATTCAAAGGGAATGAGCCCGAAAGCGATGTGGAAACGTTGATCATAATAAAGAGAACATCGTTCAAGAGTGTGGCGGAAGCTAGTTATGAGCGGCATCCCTTCTGAATGGACCACGTGTCATCCGAGCCGGGTGTAAATGTTGACGAAACACGTATACGGTGGATGAGAAAACGTGTTACACGAATACCGAAGAGGCACGACAGTCAGTAGCCGATTTGAGCATGTTACTCATCCCGGTGACTGCAGTGAGCAGTTAGGCAACAGAATAGAGACGATAGTAAAAAATCCCATTGTATGCTTAAAAGTCGATGCAAACGAACATGTTTTCAATAATTTCTCTTCCGGCTTGTACAATTATATGTGAAAGAAACAAAATGTTTGACACAACGTAAAGGTTGGTAAGACAATTCGGTTCACAGTCACAACCACTCTCCGTTAGGTCACAAGTGCGGCGTACACTCCATTTCGTGATCCTGATGTCGCAGTTCGGGTGGGCCAAGGCAGTTTTAACGTCTGAACGAATCGTTTCTGAACACACAACTCCGGTTCGTACAATCGAATCGCGATGGCTTCCGCGGATTCAAGCAAACGCTTACGAACGCACTTCGATCGATTAGCTGGTAGCTGATAGATCATTTTGAATGACTCAGCCAAGTTAGTGGCGTGGCCAGTGTCGGCGAGATACGTGGCTATGAATGAGTTGGTTTGTTTTCGACAGGCGGTCATAAGCCAAGCCGGATGGTGTTCTTTCATCCTTTCAGACAGACGCTTCGTCGTCCGGCTGATATACCCTGCTTCATAGGAACAGTAGAATGAATAAATCCACATTGATTTGGCGTGGACGGGCCTGTTGTATTTGCGGCCAGTTTTAGTCATTGGGATACCGGCGAACTGGAATTGTAGTTTAGCTGCTGAGAAAGTGTGGCTGAGGGCATGAGAAAGGCGACGAAGTAAGATTTCAGCAGAGATTGCTTCTTTGTATGGTAGTTGGAGAAATATTGGTTTTCTCTGGACTGTAAGGGTTACGGGAGCCTTCTTCCTTTGCCCCACGTTGGCCTTCAGGAAACTGCCTCAGTTCTTCGGGAAATGTTTCGTTCGAGCAAATTCTTTCTGCTCGACTCATTAGACTGAGGACCAGGTACCGTTTTAATTGCAGTGGGATGAAACTGTGGAAATTCAGGTTTGTCCATTCCATGTGTGTTTCCTATACACGTGACGTAGTAACATGCCACTCTCGAGTCGCTGCATTGTCACGTCGGGGAAGTGAAAAGTACCACATATCTCTACTTCAGAGGTAAACTTCAGTGCTTCGTGCGCCTAATTGAATTCATTGATAAGATCTTCGATGGTTCGAGAGGAGTGGAGCATTACAAGATCGTCGACGTCACGGCGGTAAAAATTGAAGTTTGTGATGACAGATTTCAACTTGTTCTGTTCAAGCATACCCACAAATGCGTCAGCGAGAAACGGTCCGAGTGGAGAATCCATAGCAACTACATCGTGCTGTCGATACAATTCACCGGTAAACGGAAACTGGATGTTGAAAGTGCACCGAAGTAGCAGTTCCTTTAGAGCCACCGTAGATATGCCAATAGCTACCTGATTTTCTTCTATATAAACACAGATGTAATTTATAATTTCAAATAACGGCACATCTGTAAGAAGTGAAGTCACATTGAGAGAGTACATGGTCAGATCCGTGACATTTAGATAGCGCACGGTATCCACGAAATCAAAACTGTCCTTACGTATGTGCAGAGCAACTTGTTTTCGAACAGGTTCCAATAGAAATATCACGGAAACTGGTGATCAGTAGCGATGTGTGGTGAAAGAAACAATGACCGGTCGGGAGCAGTGGCATCCCAATCGGTCAAGGATATCTATTAGGCGGCCAAACGGAGGGAATGCACTTGCAAGACGCTACGACACTAAGACAGGCTGACAGGTTGAAGGGGCTTCTCATCAGCGCGCGAAGGGCCGCCAAGCTATTGAACACAGGCGAGATGTGACTGGCTAGCAAACCCAGATGAATGTCGAATTTGCGGACGAGGGCCGTGCTGTGATGCGAACAAACGGACAAACATTACAAACCAGGCAGGCGGAACGCGATCACAGTGATTGAGGCCAAGACGCCGAAGATGAATAGATGAAATAGATAGATGAATAGATCACGATTTCCACAATAAGAATGAACGCTTGACCAATAAATGGAACCGTTCCTTCTCATAGTATTTACACCGTCTAGCCCGCCCTGACTTTTAATGTTACGGTTGGATTGGGCGCCATGCAGAGCGGAGTGTAGGCAACAATACCGCAGGAAAACCAGCACAACAACATCAGACCACACACAATTGAGCGGCTACCATATGAGCTGATGGACTTGTTACTGCGCATAAAGGAGCTGGTCTAGGGATGGGTACAAAAACGAGAGTAGACCGGTGTGATGAAGAATACGCGGGTGTGTCCTTTGTAAAGATGGACCCAGGCAGTTCGCCAAACTGTCGTACATTGATCCGTATGAATAGATGGAAGGCCAGTGCACTGGACCTGTTGCGATATGATGGTAATAGTGTAAGCTAAAGTGCCGGTTGAGAGAATGGAAACATCAAGTCAAACAGTGACGTGTTGCAGCCCAATAAAATTCACAAGGCCGTGTTTCAATCATGAAGACAACGGTGTAGATAGCTCAGGTAGATAGCAAGATGGTCCGGTAAAGATTTGGACCAGCACATGAAAAGTTGAAGGGGCGAAATTTCTACTTCATTAAACTCTGTACACTTCAGTTGGATAGATGACGCAAAGATGCATATGGACATGGGTATACGCTGGTTACTCGAGCTAGGTGAGTAGTAGTTGTTACTGATAGCTCCGTATACAACAAAACAATGATGTTTTGGTTGCGATTCCATTTAAACTAACATGCGGCAAAGCCTTACAAACACACGTGATCTACAGGG